TTTACTCTAGAGAGAGAGAGAGAGAGAGAGAGACATTATTTTCGTCCCCCAGTCGGTAACTACCAAATTTCAGGTCAGCTAGTGAACTAACAGTGCCACCATTAGTATCATCACTTCCATGCTGCTAACTGCATTTCAAGAATCAGTATAACAGGATACACACTTTGCATTAATTGCATCAAGAAATACATAACTCCTTTTATGTTGTGTAATCGCAGGGCAGGTAAGGTCATGTAACCCTTTAAGGCAACATTAACGCAGGAGTTGGCAGCCCCTGGCCCACACGCAAACCATGAAGTATTTTTGCCTGGCCTACCAACTTAACCATATTAAGAAATTTGCATTTATTGTTGATTGTGTTAGTTGTTATCCTGTTATTCCTGCAGTAAAATAAGGAACATTGTTTAAATAATAACATTAATTTTGTTGTTTTTTTTTCTTTAAAACTCCAGACCAAGCCAGCCTTCTGGATGGAGCAGTTTGAGGTTGAGAGAATTTATTATAGTATATTTGATATCAAGGCCCTCCTCAAAAACACTGCATTTTTCAAAAAAAAAAAAAAAAAAAATTTTGTTCACAAGCATATGGACTTCCAAATAATGATACCATTATACTTTTCACCCGACCTATTCAACCTCTACAACGAGGCAATTCTGAGAGAATTAGAAACCCTACCAGGATTTAGCATTGGCGGCCACAATCCTAACAATTTAAAATAGCTGATTCCAAGCCCTTTTAAGGGAAGGATACTCTGACAAAAAACTTACACCTATTTTTAATAGAATTCTCTCGTAATTACTGACAAGTTGTCTGTAATCCTATTAAAAATAAGTAGACAAAAATTGTCTAAAGTATTTAATGAGACATGTCTTTATATATATATATATATATATATATATATATATATATATATATAATGTATATACATCACTTCCATGCTGCATCTCAAGAATCAGTATAACATAATGCACACTTTGCCCTAATTGCATCAAGAAATGTATAACTCCCTTTACCTTGTGTAATCGCAGGGCAGGTAAGATCCTGTAACCCTTTAAGGCAACATCTAAGGCAGGAGTCGGTAGCCCCATTGCCCCTGGTCCACACACAAACCGTGAAGTATTTTTGTCCGGCCCGCCAACTTAACCGTATTAAGGAAATTGCATTTTTTTTGTTGTTTGTATTAGTTGTTATTCCTGTTATTCCTGCAGTAAAATAAGGAACATTGTTTAAATAATAACATTAATTTTGTTGTTTCTTTTTCTTTAAACCTCCAGACCAAGGCAGCCTTCTGGATGGAGCAGTTTGAGGTTGAGAGAATTTATTATAGTATATTTGACATTGTGGCCCTCCTCCAAAACACTGCATAACTGTCTGGCCCACTCTCTCCAAAAGGTTGCCGACTCCTGATGTAAGGGAATGACACTCTGACAAAAAAATTTACACCTTGGCATTTAAAATAGTTGATTCCAAGCCCTTCTAAGCGAAGAATACTCTGACAAAAAACCTACACCTATTTTTAATAAAATCCTCTCATAATTACTGACACACTTCTTAGTATCCTAAATTAAAGGAAGAAAGTTGTCTGTAATTATGAGAGGATCCTATTAAAAATAAGTAGACAAAACTTGCCTGGATACTCCTTATATATATGTGTGTGTGTGTGTGTGTGTGTGTGTATATATATATATATATATATATATATATATATATATATATATATATATATATATATATATATATAAAATCAGCTGGCTACTCATATTTGAGAATATCTGTCTACTAGGGCAGCTATAGCCAATCCCTATAGCAGACGCTTGCTCAGGGACATTTATGTTTGTTCAACACCAACAGAGCCCACCTCTGATTTAAACCGCAACTATGCTGAGAAGACCTTAGTTACAGTTTCTGGGAGAAAGTGTATTATCTAGCATAATAAACAATTTGAACAAGTACCAATTTCACTGAAAAGGCTTGGGACAACCCATGGTATGCTTTTCAGGCACTTTCCAAAAGATGCCGCGTGCTGGGATCGACCCCTCCAGTGCAATAATATCAGGAAGTTTCCTTCCTGACAAATAGACTATGGTGAGATTTGAATCCAAGTCTCATGGTCATTCTAACCACTTGGCCATGTGCCCCATATATATATATATATATATATATATATATATATATATATATATATGGGTGTGTGCAAGCTTCATTAAATATGACAGACAAGGTGCTTTTAAATTTTTTATATAATTTCTCATATGAACTTTGATTTTTTTTTTCTTTTCAGTAGATAAATTGTACAAAAACTGTCCAAAGGTTATATTTTTATGAGTGCTTTTGGCAATATATTTCATCCTTGAAAATGTCTAAATGTATTAACTGTTAACTAGAAATAAACTCCTGTGTGTATGTATTTATATCCTAATTTATTTTCTAAACACAGCCAACATATTGTGTCCCTGTTCATAGTTGAAAAGAAAAAAAAAATCTTATGAGAATTTATATAAAAAACTTAATCATTGTAAGTCATATTTAATGAAGCTTGCATGAAAGAAGGATTGCTGCCTAAATACACAATAATATATATATATATATATATATATATATATATATATATATATATATATATATAGCTAATATCAGTGGTAAATATACACATACATATGCAAAATATATAAATATATATACATATTGCATACACATACATGAATACTTTTTTGAATAAAAAATTCAAGAGGATAGAATTCAGGTAGAACTCAATGTCCAGGACAGAGTAAGGATATAATAAAAAGGCTTCTAAACACTAATATTCCATGGTCATAATTTATTCCATTGGAATTCAAAAAAGAAAACAGAATTCATAGGTCTGATGAATTCAAATCAAAACAGAATTCCAATGGAATAAATTATGACCATGGAAAATTAGTGTTTAAGCCTTTTTATTATATATATATATATATATATATACACACACACTAAATTGAAGCTGCAGGATATAGGAGTCTCATCAAGAAATGTGCATACCTTAGATAGGTAAGATATGCAATGTCAATCATTATCTATTGCTTTACTGATTGCTCTTCAATTTTTTCTTGATCCTAAATAATGTTTTCTGTTTTCTAATTCTTTTACACACGCTGTCTTAGTGGCTTTACTGCCTTGCTTGGGGTAAATTCGATTAAAAAAGAAAATCTGTCATCTGTGCAGATTTTATGAAGTGGGTCGGGCTTAGAACTTTCCAGTGCCCCCTCCCTTGTGCAAGACAAGTCATTAATAATAAAATTTGATCAGCTTCAGAGAACACAGCAATTCAATAAATGTTTCCCCATAATCTCATCAAAAGCAAATACTGTACAGTCTCATAACAAATGGAGTAAAATTAGGTGTTGACAAGGCCATCTGCAGAATGTCTTTGCTGTTCAAAAGCTGCTATCAACCATTCTACTTTTCCAAGAAATAAGTCTTTTATTTACCGTATTTTCTTTTATATAACTTGAGTATAATACGATCCCGTGTTTCTGAAGCTAAAATAAAAGGGAATAAATTAAATCCTTGAGTATAATACAACTCTCTACTACAGTCATCCTAATGCAAATTTTTCTGGAAAAATTGTATCATGTTACCCATTAAAATCTCTATGTCGTATATTTTTCGCAATATTAAGGGATAGAAATGAACCAGATGTTTAGCCATTGTGTAATTCTTCTAATTCACATTTTAAAACTTATTTCCAAATTTTTGGGGACTGGTGCTCATTACACATACCTGATAATACATGTAAATTAATCTATCATACTTTTCTGTTTGATATGACTTTATTAATATATTAAAGTATGAGAATAAAAATATCTCCCATCTTTCATTAAGAATGAATTGAGAAAAACTCAAGAAAAAAAAACCCAATAAAATCAAAACATAAACAAACTTTATCATTTGAATAAAACTAAGACAAAAGTCGGTTCAATTATGCCGATTTCCAAAAAACAAATATGGCTGACATATCAAATACCTTTTGTAAACAATTGTTATCAACACCTGCCGACTTTGTTTTATTATCTATTGTGCTGGGTGTATCTGCAATCTTGCTGTTTCAAATAAGAGATTTTTTAAGCTGAGTACAAATTTCTGAAAACATGTACTTGTATATAATATCTCCCCCACCAACATTTTTGCTTTTAATATTCATTCAAAACTTCTTGAATTATGTACAAGAAAATGCAGTATTTTTTCTTTTTCCTGCTTGGTCTCATATTCACAGTAGTAATGGTATGTTAAACTAGACGACTTACCAAATGAATAAGGTGCTCAGAATCTTAATAGGTATTTTCTAAACATACTTTAATCTGGCAGAAAGCAGAATGTTCCAGAATACAAGTTGTTTGATTGATTGTTTTTATGGCTTATCAGCTTTTTTCAGGTTCTTTAAAGCCAAAAAGTGTTTTTATATTGTAAGAATTCTTTTGGAGATAATAATGGTTTAGTGATACAAGTTTTACTAATTAACCCATACCTAGGGGAGAAGAAATAAATTCATATGTTTCCCAAGGGTATTTGCGCACAAGTGAATATAACAAACCATTATCTATTACACCACCTCCACATCCAAACTTACAACATCTGATATTTTCTAGCAGTTACCCATTTAGGTACTGACCAGGCTTGATGTTGCTTAACTTCAGTGATCATAGAGTAACCAGCATTTCAACATAATATGGCTGTAAACCATGTAATTCTAGGATTTTTCAAAAATGTGTACTCAGAATATGAGCGAAGGTAAAAACTAGTTATGAAGGGTATTCGAAGGCCAAAGAATTTAGCTGTTGATATGTAAAGAATATAAAAGTGGAAAAGCAAAAATAACACCACCCCCACCAAAACCTGCAAAATTTTGAATAGCAGGAATTGTGAAGAGATGTTTGCAAAAAGGCTGACAAAAGATGAAGAAAAGTCATTAATAAAATTAATGAGGAATTTTGAAATCAGATTCATAATTAAAATTTTACTAATTAGGAAGGTTTTGAAAATAAATGGAGGGGGATGTGGGGAAAAGAGGAGGAAAAACAAAAACTGAATTTGAATTGCAGGAAGAAAAAGAGGGAAAGAAAGCATCTATAAACAAAAGAGAGTGAAAAAAAGAGAGAAAGTACAAACAAAAAAGAAAAAGGGAAGTACAAAGAAGAGAGAGGGGGAAAGTACGAACAAAGGAGAGAGGGGGGAAAGTACAAACAAAAGGAGAGAGGGGGAAAGTACAAACAAAGGAGAGGGGGGAAAGTACAAACAAAGGAGAGGGGGGGAAAAGTACAAACAAAGGAGAGAGGGGAAAAGTACAAACAAAGAGAGAGGGGGGAAAAGTACAAACAAAGTAGAGAGGGGGAAAAGCACGAACAAAGGAGAGAGGGGGAAAGTACGAACAAAGGAGAGAGGGGAAAAGTACGAACAAAGGAGAGAGGGGGAAAGTACGAACAAAGGAGAGAGGGGGGAAAATACGAACAAGGAGAGAGGGGGAAAGTACGAACAAAGGAGAGGGGGAAAAGCACGAACAAAGGAGAGGGGGGGGGTACAAACAAAGGAGAGAGGGGGAAAGTACAAACAAAGGAGAGAGGGGGAGTACGAACAAAAGGAGAGGGGAGGGAGAACAACAAAGAGAGGGGGGAAAGTACGAACAAAGGAGAGGGGGAAAGTACGAACAAAGGGGAGAGGGAGGAACGTAATGAACAAAGGGGAGGGGGGGGAAAGACGAACAAAGGGGAGAGGGGGGAAGTACGAACAAAGGGGAGAGGGGGGAAGTACGAACAAAGGGGAGAAAGAAAAAATACAAAGGAAAGAGAGGGAAAGAAAAAATATGAACAAAGGAGGGAGAGGGAAAGAAAAATATGAACAAAGGAGAGAGAGGGAAAGAAAAATATGAACAAAGGAGAGAGAGGGAAAGAAAAATATGAACAAGCTTGAGAGAGAGAAAGAGAGGATGGAACGGATAAAGGAAAGAGAAAAAGTACAAAGGATAGACAGTAAAACAAAACAGGAGAGAGAGAACTTGAAAGTACAATATATATATATATATATATATATATATATATATATATATAGTGAGAGAGAGAGAGAGAGAGAACATAAACGAAAAGAGTATAAGTAGAAACACAAGTGATAGAGAAGGAACAAAAAAGCCAGGATAGTGAAAGAAAGAAGAAAACATAATTAAAGAGAAAAGGAGAAGTAAAAGAAAAGAGAGGAGAAAGAAAAAAGATAGAAAAAGGTTAAAAATGAGAGAGAAGTAAGAAGAGAGAGAGAGAGAGAGAGAGGTTAGTGAGGAGGAAAAAGATGATGAGGCAAGAAAAGGAGAGAAGAGAGAGGATGAGTAAAAAAAAAAAAAGAAGAAAAACAATGAAAGAAAAGAAATTAAGAAAAACGGAAGAAAAAAAATGGAGGAAAGAAATGTGGACCAAATGAAAGAAAAGAAGACTGAAACAATTAAAGAGAGAAAGCTTGCAATTTCTCTACAAAGACTAAGCCTGTCGCTTTTTGTATCAAGTAAGCTTAGTGTAAAACCGGTTATGGCTCAGCGCCATCTGTAACGGCGATGGCCTCACCGATCAGACAAGCTATACACACTAGAACGAAAACAAATCTGGCGTAAACACAGCCATCAGGTTCGACCAGGCATTGCGTTTCTGTATTTCAAGAATGATCGCCGTTGGATGCATAAGTTTCAAATTGACAGCTTTGTCACTGAGGAGGCCGTAAGAATGTATTGCAATTCTTTTTATCACTGCTTCACAGTAACTGCTGTTTTTACTTTATGTCCTTTCCTTTCTTTTAGTTCTCTCACAATCTTAATTTTTAATTAAAGGATTTCTTTACCTAATTTCATATTAAGAATACTTTTTCCTTTATCAGTTTTTAAAAAATATATTCACATAATTTTCAGACCTGTGTAATTGTTAAAGAAATATTGTATGTATAGCCGGCCACTTGTATTTGAGGTTACCTATCTACTAGGGGGCTAGCCAATCCCTATTGAAGACACTCACTCAGGCATATTTGTGTTTGTTCAACACCCATAGAGCCCACCTGTGGTTTATACTGCAACTATGCTGAGCAGACCTTAGTTACAGTTTATAGAGCATGTTATCTAGTGTGATCAACAATTTGAACAATGCCAGAACACTCAAGCCCTTGGCCACAATGACTTGTGGCTTTGTGCTAGCACAGCTATAGACGGCCCTCAAGAGTTCTGTCCACCCAATTTCACGCACAAGTCTTGTCTCAACCCACGGTATGGTTTTCTGTCACTTTCCAAAGGTGGTGCAGACTGGGATCAACCCCTCCAGTCTGATAACATTAGAAAGTCTCCTTCCTGACAAATCGACCATGGTGAGATTCGGACCCGGGTCTCACATTAATTCAGGGATAAAAATGAATGTGTGGATTCTCTGAAGGAATAAGACATCTTTATTTATTAAATGTTTTCCTGGTTGTTGCTTTTTTCTCTAACCAATATGAAAAATAATTTTGTTTGGAGTTATTTTAAACTACTAGATTGGCAGTTAGGTCCCATCATTTTACAGTCAAAATGGCTAGATGGAACTGTAAGTTCTTTTTAATAACAGTTTCTTCTCTCGCACTCCTCGCTTGTGGAATTCTCTTCTGGTTTCTTCCTTCCCAGTCAAAATTGATCTTCAAAAATTTAAATGCAATGTCAATTGTTATCTTCTGTCTTCTTAAATCCTTTTCTTTTATTGTTCTCATTCCTTAATAAGGTTTTTCTTTTTCTTATATTACCTTACATTCGGTAGCCACTTTTGTCTTAGTGGCTTTATTGCCTTGCTTTGGAATGAAACAAAAAAATTTAAAGGGCTTCTTTTAAATTCTTTATTTTTGATTTATTCACCTATTTTAGAAATAATGTCTTAAATGTTTTTTTCTGACACATTAAAATTTATGTGGGTTGTGTGATGTTTTGTATATTGATTTTGTTCTATTCTAAGTTTAACTTGACAGAAATTTACTAATGACGTTGATTGCAAATGAACTCATAGAAAAAGAAGACATTTTGGTGCCAAAAGAGTTAGGAACCGAATGTTATCCGCTCTCAAGACCCTTACAAAATGAAAATTCTGATGGTGGGAAACGATGAAAAAAATGAATGAGTATGATGGTGGGTAGAGAAAAAGGTAAAAAAAGAAAAAGAGAGGAATGAAAGAAGAATAAATGAGATAGATAGAAAAAGAAAGAGTGTATGAACTGAGAAAACAGTAATGAATAAGTTTCAGGAGGAACAAAGAAATAAAAAGAAAGAAATGAAAAAGAGAAAAGAAAAGAAGGATAAAGAATGGAAGAGAACAGAAAGGAAGGATAGAGAATGGAATAGGAAAAGAAAAAAGAAAGAAAGAAAAAGGAGAAGATGAAAAGAAAGGAAAAAAAAAGAAAAGGAAAAGAGAAAAGAAAGAAAAAGGAAAGAAAAAAAAAAAAAAAAAAAAAAGAAAAGAAAAGAAAGAAAAAGAAAAGGAAAAGAAAGAAAAAGGAAAAGAAAAAGGAAAAGAAAGAAAAAGGAAAAGAAAGAAAAAGAAAAAGAAAGAAAAAGAAAAAGAAAGAAAAAGAAAAAGAAAGAAAAAGAAAGAAAAGAAAAGAAAAAGAAAGGAAAAGAAAAAGAAAAAGAAAAAGAAAGAAAAAGAAAGAAAAAGAAAAAGAAAGAAAAAGAAAGAAAAAGAAAAAGAAAGAAAAAGAAAAAAGATAAATAAGTTCAAGAGAATAAAAATAAACAACAAATACAGGAAAAACTTTTCTTCAGATTAAAGGAATAAAATTGAATAAAAAATGAAAAAAAATGAAATGGGTAAGGAAAAAGGTAAAAAAAAGAAAAAGACAAAAAAGATATGAAAAAAGGGAAAGAAAGTAAAAGAAAAGAAAGAAAAGAAACAATGGAAAACAACAAAGAGAGAAAAGAAAAAGAGAAAGAAAGAAGGAAAGGAAAAAGATGAGAGAAAAAGTATAAAGATAGGAGAGAGAAAGAAAGAAAGGATAAAGATTGACGAAAGAATGAAAAAGAAAGAAAGAAAAAAAAGATAGAGGAAAGAGAAGAAAGAAAAAGGAAAATGTCAGAAGAAAGAGAAAAAGAAGGAAAGAAAGAAAAACAATAGAAGAAAGAGAAGAGGGAAAGAATAGAAGAGCGATGAAATGAGGTTAAAAAGAAAGTGAAGAGGTCAGAGGGGAAGAAATTAATGTGAAAGGACAAAGTAACGTCTTTGAATCAACTTTTTTTTTTTCAAAATCCTGTACAAAAATTACACCAGCTAAGTCGACACAATTCACGAAGACTCACTGATATATCAGATGTCATTTAAACTGTCTCAATGATTTCCTAAGCAACAGAGACAAGCTTCCCTTTCCCCAGCCACCCTGCTCAACAACAACCGCCAAAATTTTATTTTGACATTTTACTTTCTTTCAATAATCACAATGTTTTTTTTTTTTTGTCTCAGTTGACATTCGTTTCTGTGTCATTAAGTTTAAAAAGACCAAGAAAAAAAAAAAAATTATCACTGGAAAAAGAAACACAGCCTCTGATTTATACACACACATTTTTTAATAATTTCACCCCAAGCAAGCTGATAATATCACTAAGACACAAGAGGTTATTGAGAGTGAAAGATTGTAGCGACCGAGGAAGCACCCTCTTGGGAATCAGTCGCCCAAAGCAGTAGTTTGTAGGAAGAATCTATCTGAGTGGAACTTACATCTCACCATTGGAACAGAAAGGGAATGAGGGTGGTTCATTATAATGGGCGTGGCATGGCGGGTCTGAGCCATGACGGTTAGAACTGAATGTAGTGCATCTGAGCACTTTCCATGGAAATAGCAATAATAGTAGTGAGAGCCTTGTGACCTTTCGTCTGTGAGAAAGGGATTGCAGGGTGGAAACTAATTTGTCACCCGCAACAATGCAGAGAGAAAGAGTGTTAAAAAAAAAAAGAACTGTCTTGTTTGCTAAATAACTTTTAATTTCTAACCAATGACCTTGACTTTATTCATTTCACTCCAAGCAAGCTGACAGTGCTGCTAGGACACAAGGAGTCACTGGGCATGAAAGAGAATGATGCTTTGGAAAGGAACAGAAACAGCAAAGAATGAATAAACCTCTACTTCTTTTCAAAAGGGGGGGGGGTAGTGCGAACTGGGCAATAAGCAAATCTATACACGCACATCTGTTCATGAAGAGTTCAAATTCTAGATGAGGTTCTTCAGTTCACTTTAAAAAAAAAAAAAAAAAAACCTTGGAAAGGCATGAAACCATCTCTTCAAGCCCAAGATAGGAATTAATAACTGGGCACACTGTGTTCTCTAGCCTTAGCTGGTAACTAGCCTAGAAAGAAAACTGAATTCAAAGGGTATTTCTAATCATTTCACTGCAAATACAGCCACTAGCATGTACAAGGTCAGTTAGTGTGAGAGAATATCAGTCAGTTATGTGCCATGCGTGATACACGCTTAGGCGTCATGTATCTTTTGATACATGACTGACGAGGCAGATTTTTTTCCCCACAGCAGGTTGCCATTCCTTTCTGCAGTAGACCAGTTGCTATCCAAGGCTATAGAACCCAGTCAGTCCTGCTATTTTAGGATCGATAAGATTCAGTCAGTTATGTGCTATGCATCTGTCCTGCTATTTACCCATAGCTGGGGGGAGAAGAAGATTCATACCTTTCCCAAGGGTATTAGTACGTAAGTGAATGTAATGGATTCAAGTGGAATTTGAACTCTGCTCTTTGATTCCTCAATCCAAGCTGCCATCCATTATTCCACTGTGCCTCCGTGAGAAAAAAAAAAAAAAACACTATTAAGCAACGAGAACAGTAAAAGAACAGGAATTAAGATGGAAAATAATGATTGACATTGATCTTCAAAATTCAAATGCAAAGTTGACTGGGAAGCCAGAAGAGAGTTCCACAACGAGAAGTACAAGAAAAGAAGCTGTTAGCATACAACTTATGGTTACATTAAGCCATTTCAACTGTAAAATGACGAGATCTTGCCGCCACTGTAGTCTGTTAGTTAAGGGCCATGCGTGAGACACACTAGGGTGATCATGTTACTTTCGATTCATGACTGATTAGGTAGAATATTTTTCCACGGTAGGTGCTAGACTGGTGGCCGACCAAGGCTATAGGACCCAGTCTGCCCTGTTATTTAACCCATAGCTGGGGGGAAGAACAGATGGATTCATACTTTTCAAGGGTTTTTGTGTGTAAGCGAATGAAACAAACCCGACTGTGGTTAAATTCGTAAAGTCTCGTTACCAAAAAGGGAAGTTCAACAGAACAATTACTATGATAATATATGTAGAAAAGACAGAGGGAAGCTACCTTATGGCAGCAGGAAAGTCACTGAAGCCAAAATGCCTGGTCAGGTTGGGCATATATCTAACGCGCACACACACGTGTGCGTGCGTGTGTGTGTCTGTGTATATATATATATATATATATATATATATGTATGGAGAGAGAGAGAAAGAGAGAGTGACTGAAAAGTAACTCCCTATTTTATGTATTAGTGGCCAGCCAGGAGTCCTGACTTAACAGCCTGTGACTTTTTTCTTTTGGGTTGGTTAAAGAAGCAAGTCTACACAACCAAACCAAGACTTTGGAAGGACTTGAAAGGCGAATACAAGAAGTTATGTCTTCCATATGACAAGAGTCCCTGGTGAAAACAGTTGATGTGATTCCTGGGCGGACCAAGAAGCTGGTAGCGAAATCTGGTGCCCATATCAAATTTTAAATAAAACCTCATGCTAAAGTTTTCCTCATATCCATTTCTTGTTAAAAATTATAGTTAATAAATAAATTATGAGTATTTTAAAAAGGGGAGTTACTTTTCAATCACCCTGTATATATCCTGTTAGCTACACATCACATCATTAGAATGAAATTTTGGATGATTTGTTTAATAAATATTCCAGGTTCCATAAAGAGCCAATATTCAAATCATTTCTAATGCATTCCTATAGTAAAATCATTTCCAATGAATTTCTATAGATGCTTTTAGTATTTGCTATATCACTAGATATGGAATCATTAGATGGAATGAAAGTTTGGATGGATTTGTTTCATAAATTCTAGCCATAATATTCCAGGTTCCATAAAGAGCTAGTATTCAAATCATTTCTAATGCATTCCTATAGTAAAATTATATCTAGAATTCTAATGAATTTCTATAGATGCTTTTAGTATTTGCTATGTTACTATGTAATGATTAAATAGAATATATTTTGATTTATTTCTTTAATTATTCCTACATAAGGACATGAAAACCTAGTTTCTTATAAACACAATAATTCAAAATTCCTTGTTTGGCCTTTTCTTCTGATTTTTACACTTTAATTATTAACTAAATTTTGTCTTGAATGGTTCGTATCGGTCTTCTTCATGAGAGCCATATTGAATTGTTACCACATTCAGAATTATCAATGCATAATGTTGCTTAACTGCAATTCTCCTTCAAAAAAGCCATTCCACTAACATTACACAGCCGTAAGCCTGTTATTTCCAAAGCGGAAAGCTGCCCTTGAGAGAAGTATTGTGCTGGAGACTTGAGACAGGGTTTTGTTTTACTAATGCCACCTGAAGAGATCTGCACAACTGCTTACATTGGCCGAAACAACAATATGGAACCGAAGCAAAGAGAATCAATATTCAGAAGTTGATTGGATCTAAGTGGGAACTTGATAAACAAATCAGAGCGAGAAAGCGTCTCAAGTCTTCGGATGCTGAGGCAGTGGTCGACAAGTACTCATTCTACAGCTGAGGAGGTGAAAGAAAGAAATAATGTCTGGGACAAATAAAAGAACAGAGACTAAAAATTACATGGAAAATGTTCCAATTGTCTTATCAATATTGGATCAAAGTGTAATATCTGTTCTCCTCATCTCTAATGGTAATAATATTATTAACCATTTCCTTATAAGGGAAAAATCGGCATTCAAGCAGCCAGTCTTAAGCGAGTTATGCTTTACTTCTATTCACTGGCCATTAGCTGGGATCAAAGCATAGTATCTGTTGTCATCTCTAAAGCTACTGGTAATGGTAATATCAGCTGTTTCCCTATAAGGAAATATTTGGCATTCATTTTTTGAGTGGCAAGTAATTCATTCTTTCTTTCTCTTATAACAATTTTTCAGGAAAACAAGTTTCTCAAGTGCAATAACTGTTATAACCTTTACCAGTATTGATGACAGTTTCCTTCCTAACCTTTTATTTGAAGTTGTGTGGAAAGTCAACACCATCTCATTCTCTTTACAAATGTTGTCTATTTTAGTTATTGCTGTTGCAGAGGGTCTCTAAACAATATGGCTTCTGTTATTTTGCATTATTAATAAAAGGTGTGTAAATATTGGAAATCTATATATATGTATGTGTGTCTTCATTTGCATTTACATATTGAACAACTTAATGCATGCTTAAATTAATTCTTGCTACCCGAATATATATGTATATATTGATATATAATGTCATATTCTAACCATAGTCTTTATATTTTATTTGTATTCACAAACACACAAACACAAATATATACATATATGTATATATATGTATATATATATAAAAAGGGTGTTCCAATAACTTGCACTGATTTTAAACTTAATTCACAATTAAAATCGGCCCAAGTTATTAGAATACACTTAATATATATATATATATATATATATATATATATATATATATATATATATTGGAATAATGTTTTGATTAATAAAACAAATATAACGATTTAAAGAAAATGAATTTCTTTTGTATGACCATTTTTTTTTTTACCCAGGACCTAGGTACCTTTTGCCAACGCTTCATCAGGGTCTTTCGTTGGCAAATGATTTTTAAACAAACAATGAAAATGAGAAGAACGCCAAAATGGTATGGTTGAACAACGTCTAAAATCTTTTACGAAGATATATATTACTGCTCAGGTTGGTTCATTATTATTAATTCATTATTTACGCATTTATTTTAATCAGAAATTTATTTTAATTTTACGATATATATCTTGAAAGACCCTGATGAAGCGTTGGCGAAAGGTACCTAGGTCCTGCAAAAAAAAAAAAAAAATCAAGGTTAAAAGAAATTCATTTTTTTTAAATCGATATATATATATATATATATATATATAATGTGTGTGTGTGTGTGTGTGTGTGATGATAATCTATAATTTTGTTTTTTTATATATCCAGAAGAATGGAAAGAGTATTTTGTGAT